AACACAACAGTTACCTCAAATAAACAATTAATATATTTACACATAACACGTATTTTAAGGTAAATACTTCATATCTATGTGTAAAATGAAAGTGACTATACACTCACTTGAGTTGATGATAATCGGGCAGCAATTCGTTTCCTAAAACGTTCGTTCCTAATAAAACCGATAGTTTTATTCAGAAACCGGGCTCTGCGAGGGTCGGGCTTCGAAACCGAAAAGATAAATTTTTCGGGCTTCTCGGGCTCTTCGTGGCGTATTCCGGGGGTTATAATCGATCCCGGGGATTTGGGGGATGTTAAGATGAAGAAAATATGAAGAAAGGGGCTTAAAATGGCAAAACTCCAAATCTACCCGAGAAGGCTCGCATGACCCTTCTATTTATAGGGTCCGAAGTCGGTCTTAGAAGGAGAGGAGTCAGCATGCGAGGGCAGGTGGCATCAGGAGCAAAGGCCACGCGACAGCAGCTGGGCGAGGGTGCGCATGTGCTCGCACGTGATCTGCGCATGCGAAGCCTCGTTGTCGCCTCCTGATTGGACCGCGGCCTAGGGTCCGAAGTAGGGGGTTCGTGGCACTCTCGCTAAGGCTCGGACATGTGCTTAAGGGTACGTGTCGCCTTCTCAGTGGACCACTTCGGATCAGCTCACGAGATCGGAAGAATCAGCAGCTCGGACACGTGGCTCGCATGACTCACCAATTTCGGACACGTGGCACGTTCTAAGCGAGGGTGACGTGGCCGAAGCCACCTATGCGAAATTTCTCGGTTTTCGCGCCAAAACTTCTCAAATCCATTACTTTTGCATACGAGCTCCGTTTTTGACGTTCTTTATATGCACGCGTAGGTAAAATTACGCTCTACAACTTTCGTTTAGACTTCGTCGGCTAATTTTGACTTTAATTTTTATATTATTATTTTTAACAGACTGGGACAGGAAATCCGTTAAAAAATCATAACTTCTTCATCCGATGTCCGTTTTCGTCAGACTTTTTACCGTTGTGCTACTAATGACGAGACATTCGATTCTCGTTTAGGTCGTGTCGGCTAAAAATCACTCGATCTAAAATTCGAGTTTTTAGCTGTCTACTGCTAAGTTGAAACTTCGAAAAATCATAACTTCCTCATACGAAGTCAGATTTGGGCGTTCTTTTTATACCTACTCTCGGTTTAATGAACACTGTGAGTTTCGTTTAGATCACTAAGGACAAAAAGTAGTTTATCGAAAACTCACTTTTTACGACATTCGGCCCCGTGCCGGTTTGTCGCAAACTTCGACAGGTCATAACTTCTTCGTTATAACTCGGATTTCGGCATTCTTTATATATCCGTAATCCTTGTCACGCCCACTACAAGTTTCTTAATAGATATCGGCTTTATCTAAAATTTAATTTTTGACGCTCATTTTTATTCTTAATTAATTAAGCCCTAATAATTAAGCATAAAACACATAATATTCACATAATCCCTTTTCATTTCTTCAAAATGAGTTACAAAGGTTAACCTAGACTATAATGTCGATATTAATGCCTAGACTAGAAACACGGGCATTACAACTCACTAAGCTTTGGCTTATAGGTTTTGGATGAAATTTTTTTTAGGTACTTATTGGATGGCAAAGGCGGGATTGTACACACGCACATCAGTCGTTTTATGATTCGAGATTCCGCAATGTTTTCCTTATAACTATGATTTTGAATTATGATTTATGAACAAATGGTTTGACTTGAAAGTAACTTCATCAAAGTGGGTATTTATTATCTTAAATAATTTATTCTAGACTTTGGGACATTACATGCGTAGGGCGCGTCGCGTCCAACATTGGGCGCGCTGCGCCTGCGATTAGCAAGTATAGTTTCGATTTTCACAGTTTTTCAATTTAGTGCTCATAAATAAAACCTAATGGAAATTATACCACTGTTGGGTTTTATATGCATCTTTACACTAGATTTAGCCAACGAAAACATTTAAATATAACCGTAAGTGTACATGCACCCTAGATCTAGGTTTTACTATTATGACAACCTACTTTCAAAACTATGAAATTAAACTAATAGGATGGATAGAATTACTAACCTTTAAAGTAAAATTATATTTACTTTGATTCCCATGTAGATATCGAATTTCTTGCAATCACTCAGAAGGACTAGCACTCAAAGTATAATGCCTCTAATTGGCTCACACCAAATATTTTAAAACTCTAGAAATAAAGAAGGAAGGAGAGAGCACTTAGAGAAATCAGATTCTCTAAGAGTATGGATGAAAAGGAACGAATTTTATGAAGTACAAACGATTTATTTATAGCTGAGATAACTTGCAGGTTAAGCAGATTTGAATCAATTAGATAATCAGATTTAATTCAAATTCAAATCATTACCTTATCTGTTACATAGAAATTTTCTAGAAGGCTTCTATAGCCTCCAAAACTGTCCACCCCCTTTAGGGTTTCTAGAATGCTGCTATTGCTTAACTATTTAACTATCAATATTTAGTTCATGCATATTTAATCAATTCCTGATTAATTCTAGTTAATTACAAATTAATTCAAATTAATTCTAAATTAATTTTAAAAAGTTTCTAATTAATTTATCAAGCTATGATAAATTAATAAACTATTTTCCTCATTCTCTTAAATTTTTTTCTATATATTTTAGTTCTTGAAGGCAACCTAAAAATGACTTTGCTATTATTTCCAAAGTTAATACCAATTTAGCCATGACATTGGACACATATTTCCAACAGATTATGAGTTCAATTCTAGGCATATACTAAAAAAATAACATTAAATGAATAAATGATAAGAAAGAAAATTGACTTAATAGGGTAATATTTTTATTTCGTACACATTTAGTGATTGTTTTTTTTTTGCCCATATTTGACCATTTAACTTGTTTTTTTTATTTCCACATTTAGTCCTTATAACTGACTACTTCAGGTTAAGCCAGAAAAAATGATTTAATGGGTAATATAATTTTCAACTTGTACACATTTAGTCGTTAATGTTTTTGTACACATTTAGTCTTTATGACTGGTTTCTTCAGATTTTACTCATAACATCCTACGTGGGACAATCATTAATGAGGTGTTCTCATACATGGATCGTTTTAACTTATTTCAGTAACCTATTTCATGAATTTGTCAAATAATATTGGTGCTCTAGTTTTCTCCAAGTAGAAGATATCTTCGGCTTCGGTTTCATCTATCTTCATAGCAGACAATGAGATTCTTTGTGATTGCTTCCTCCAACTCGAATTTGCACTTCCAAGACAAAAAAATCAAGGAAGATGCTAAAAAAATTGCACTTCTAAGACTAAATAACACCTTGACAAAAAAGTTCCATCTATCTCCATAGCGCACAACGTAATTCTTTATGATTGCTTCTTCCCAACTCGAATTTGCACTTCCAAGACAAAGAAGCTCGTTGTTTGTTATAGAGTTAGATGAACCTGTAGCCGAATACATCTTATTTTTGGAGAAAACCAAGGCACCAATATTATTTGACCGATTCGTGAATTAGGTTACTGATATAAGTGAGTGGCGGACCACATATGAAAACACCTCATATGACTGTCGCACGTAGGATGCCGTGAGAAAAACTTGAAGAAAACGATCATAAAGACTAAATGTGTACAAAAACATTAAATACAAAATATGTACAAACTGAAAATGAAATTACCATATTAATTTTTTTTTCGACTTAACATGAAATAACCGATTATAAGGACTGAATGTGGAAAAAAATAAGTTAAATGGTCAAATAAAAAAAAATTAAATAACTAAATATATATAAAATAAAAAATACATTATCCTATAATAAGTTATTTTTTTTAAAAAAATATGCCGTTAATGGAAGGTATTTAATAAAAAACAAAAAGAACATAAGCAGCATCAAGAAAGAAAATATCTAGCAAAGTGGCAAAGCAGTAATTTCACATACAAAATGCACCGCTCATGGAGAAACAGTGGTCGCGAAATGAAACTACTATCTCTCTCATAAACTTTCTCTCTCTAAAACATGAAATCCTATCCATGGCCGCCCCTGGTTTTCCCTTGCCGCCACCTCCACCTCCTGCTTATAGTCTCATCATTCTCCCACTTTTCCACCACCAATTTTGTCCACACTTCAAATTTCAAAGAAGCTAACACACGGCTACTGTATATTTCTTAGAATTTAATCTTAGTTGATCGGTTGTCATACTGCTTTGTGATCGGATTCGGATCTGAGGTTTTTGATCGAGTTGTTTGTGTAGTTTAATCGATCGATCGATGACCATTGAGGTAAGGTTGGCTGGTGTGAGCAAGAGTATAAGGAAGAAAAAATGCTATCGGAAAACCAATAGTAAGAGGAAACAGTCTCCGCCGCGTCCGACGTCGACGCCGGTTTCGTTTCCGTTACAGAGGCTGTATATGTCTTGTAAAGACGTGTTCAAAGGCGTCGGAACGGTTCCTTCTCCTACCGACGTGCAGAAACTTTGCCATATTCTCGGTGAGCGATTTGCTTTTTTGGATTATAGTTTGCACGTTCGTTACAGTGATTGTTTGTTGCCATATTTGGATAAAGTTAGAATCTTACAATAGAACATCACCGAGTAGTCACTGCTAAATGCTAATTAACTTACTGTACCCCCTCATGTAGGAGATTCTTCGATTTGCTTTTGTCGACAAATTTCGTTCAACCTGTACTTGATTTGATATTATGCCCTAATTTCATCAATGGTCAACAATTCGATAACAATTTCCAATTTTACTTTTGTATTAGAAAACCACAATGCATAAAGTACATGAATTCGATCTCAATTCGTATGTAAAGATGTAATAGTCACTTTGTTCAAAATTGAAGTATAATTAAATCTGAAAAACTATATTTCTTGCTTTACATTCTTCATTACTTAACTTTATCATCAAGTCACCTTTTCTTAAATAGATCTGGATCTAGCTATATACACTCTTATCATCAGATTTATAACTAAGCTTAAATCCTGTTACAGATGGAATGATGGCAGAAGATGTTGGACTAAGTAGAAATCTGCAATTCTTTAAAACTAGAAGCATTGTAGGAGTAACTCCAAAAGTCGCATGTACTACCATATATCAATCTGAGAAATTCTCTGTAAGCATTTAGAAACATTTACAATTATCAATCATCTCATCTTAAAAATTTCTTAAATCTCGAAATTCATGTGTTTCTACTTTCTACAGCTATGTATCTTCTTTCTTCCTGCAAACGCTGTCATACCTCTTCACAACCACCCAGGAATGACGGTTTTCAACAAACTTCTACTTGGAAAAGTTCATATTAAATCATATGATTTGGTTAACTCCAGTGATTCAGATGACTCTTTATCCCCTTCACATAGTGAGTTTTTCATCTCTCTAATTATAAATTCAGGGTTAAGCACAATTACAGATACTAATTTGAATTTTGTGCAGTGAAATTGGCGAGTTTAAAAGTAGATGGCGTATATTCTGCTCCATGTGACACTTCTGTATTGTATCCAACTTCTGGAGGTAATATACATGCGTTCAGAGCTATAACACCTTGTGCGATTCTTGATGTGATGGGGCCTCCTTATTCTAAAAAAGATGGGCGTGATTGCTCTTATTACAGAGATATTCCATACACTACATTGCCATGTAAGAATAATTGAAGTGTTTTAATTTGATACCATTTTAATAAAGAAATGAAAAAGCAAATTAATTAATTTGAAAATGATGAAACTTTCAGATATGTCAGGAGAAGAGAGGGAAAGGGAGAGGGAGGGTTATTGGTGGTTAGAAGAGATTGAGGTGCCAAAAGAATCAGAAATGGAGGGGATTGAGTATATGGGTCCTCGGATAATTGAAACTCAAACTAGTAGTTCATCATAAATTCATAGGTGTTTTTTCAGTTGAAGCTTCATGTTGGGAGCATATGTTTCTGTGTTTTTTCATTTTTTTTTTTAAATTTTAAAGATGGGTGTATAGGTGTTGTTGGTGTAACAAGGTTTAATGGCTGTTTTTCTTTGTTAGTGCTATCACTGTTGATGCTTGGGGTTGGAAAAACCTAACTGATATTCTACGTGGCATAAATCAACAAAAAACAAGTTTTGGCTACTTTATGATCGATAAAGAAAAAAAATGGTGCCATGTGTCATGATGGAGAAAGTCATGTTTATGATCTCTTTAACTTTTGCACCAAATTTCTTGTCGGAAAAAGCACTGTCCGATGCATGAGTTAGCATGTTAAATTGTTTAATTTCATTAATTCATTTGTCATTTATGAGAATTTGATTATTAGTACTTAGAATGTTTAACACATTCGAGAATCTGATTATTAATCCGAGTATTTAAGAATAATTTTTTTGGTTTGTAGTTTGTACTCAACACGGGTTATAAGCTGCACGTTGCGGAGTGAGTTTAAGTAAGAATTGAAAATTGATTTTGTTGGAGAAAGTTTGAATGTGCGTGTGAAAATAGAGAAAACAATGTAGTTTCTGACTTTCTGTTTTTGCCGCACACAAACGACAATGTTGTACATACACAGTCATGAACAACTATAGACACAAAGAAAGTTTGGACAATATTCAAGAAAAAATTATAACGTCAAAGTCGTACATACAATCATAAACAACCATAAACACAAAGAAAGTTTCGACCCAAAAAAAAAATTGATGTACATACATAGTCATGAACAACCATAAGCAAAAAAAGAAAGTTTGGACAATATTCGAGAAAAATATAAAGGGGACAAAATAGAAAATCTGAAAGTTGTAAGGGGTTGCCGTATTTTTGGATTCGAGAAAAAAAAAAGTTAAAACAGTGACTATTTTTGTAATCGACCATTTGTGTCTATTTGAGAGAGAGAGAGATGAGTAATCTAACTCATATAAATGAATAATAACCAATATCATATTCTGGAGTAGTTATATTCATTCCGAAGTGGGTGATTGATGCTTGGTAGGTATCTGGTTCGGAATCTGACACCCGTACGTTTCAAACTGAAAAATTATATTCCATATTGTTTATTCTAGAATACGTATTCCGAAATATTTATGTTCATTCCGGAGTTGGTGGTGGTTGGTATGCATCAGGGCCCTAAGAAGAGCATATTTGTGTTTCATATGCCAATTCTAGCTGAATACGAACAATCGAATGAAGTCATTGTTATATTACCACTATTGATGGACAAACGACAAGTCGGATATTCACGAAACCATAACCGTATCCCATCCTAATGTGAATGCCTCATCCCAAGGTGAATGCCTGATAAAAAAAAACGCAATCGTTGCCTAAGGATCGGTCACACATCAGGAACTGTGACGCTAAGTTTCCCACAGATTCAACAAAAACTTAATCTTCAAGTAAGAGTAAGTCAAGTGTCAAAAGTAAGGGTAAGTCTAAAAGTAGATCTAATGTCAAAACTAGTCAAGAGATACCATTGATCTAAATTACTGGTAGTCATATTTGTACCAAATTATAAAATTCTAGAAATTCTTGTTTGGTCAGATATACTTGTTTTTGCTACATCATGATAAGGAAATTATTTACAACAAACACAAAAACACCATAACTTAAATATCAGGGAAATATGCAGCCTCTATCCATGACAAACTCTCAGTCCACCACAAAGCAACACACTCATGTGGAGTAGTCTACAACAGCTCGTTAGGGGAAGCTGCATAAAACAATATATTAATGTTATGTTATTTTCTCATAGAAAGTTATATATTATAAGGTTAACTAAGATACATACATTTCTAACATCAAGAATACGTTCACAATCAACAACGTGTAAACGCCTCATCCTAGGGTATGCAATTACCTGAGGGATCACACCCGGTATAGGGATACCAACCATCATACTGTTGGGAAATGTCTCCATAGTCCAAATCTACAAAATTAAGAAGTCAAACAAATAACTAACATAATAATGTTATAATAGTTGTTGCATAGAAATTGTTATGAAACATAATGGACATATCTTAAATGTGTAGACAAATCTATGAACAATATATGTAGGTCTATTGCCGACTCTTGGCTCGGTGGGGTTTAAATGCTTATCAATCTTATTAAAGACAACATACATATAAATCGAAAGTATCGTTCGATATATATATATATATATATATATATATATATATATTATATATATATATATATATATATATATATATATATATATATATATATATATATATATATATAGAGAGAGAGAGAGAGAGAGAGAAAGTTCAATAGAGAACCATAATTATTGGTTCTCCAAGGAACCAAATCTTTTTTTTAAGTTCTAAAGCTTATTCTTTATCGAAAAAAAAAATTAAAAATATCTAAATTCATAACTTAACATTGTGAATGTTAAATATATTTTTCGGATTCACCGTGTGAATTTAGATTCACATTGTGAATCTTCAAAGATTCACATTGTGAATTTGACGAAAAATAAAATAATTTTATTTATCGAATTTGATATCATTGAAAAAAAGATAAAAAATTATGAATTTCTGTATTTTTAGTTTTTTTTTTTGATAAAAAATAAGTTCTAAAAGTTGAAAAAAAGATTGGTTCCTTGGTTAATTATGGTTCTCTGTTGAACTTCACCATATATATATATATATATATATATATATATATATATATATATATATATATATATATATATAGAGAGAGAGAGAGAGAGAGAGAGAAGTTATATTGAGAACACGTAAAAGGTTTAGAACGCGAGAAAAGTTTATTTTTGTTATTTTGTCAAATTAATGTTCTTAAAGTGTAAAATTTTAAAATACGTTATTTTCCCTAGTTTATGCAATATTAAATTATTAAATTTTTTACTTTTAATTCGACTGATATTCATATCCAGTATAATTTGTACCTACCATCGTCAACTCCAAAATATTCATCTTCTTTCCTTCACCTTACAATCGTCACAGTTACAAGTTTCGTCTTTTTTGATTCTCCGATGATTTGCAAGCAATGTTAAGCTGGAATCGGGGGATCCTTCAAGATCAGTTTGTTCTTCCATAATATGCAACCAATGTGAAGCTGGAACGTTGGGATTCTTCAAGATCACTTGCGTTTTATCGTTCAATATCGTCGATATAAAAGCGTATGGAGGTCGAATTAAAAGGAGGTTATGCAGTCGGGAATCACAAGAGGTAAGTGCCTTTTACGTCATTGAGGATTTTTCAGAAATTATTTCGTTATTGTCATCAATATGTTGTTAATTTCACTTGGTATTCAATGATTTACATGAGTTTGCAATGTATACGCTCAATTTTGTCAAATGGTTCAAGGAAGATTTTTGCCCTATTTTCTCACTTATATGTTCACTGTTAACTTGTTTGAACAAATTTACAACATCGATTGATTATTATTGTATTTTTTTTCTTTTTAAATCATATAATTCGATTTGCATTATGTGAATGGTGTTATTGACATCACTATGTTGTTAAATTCAACTGACATTCATCGATTGAGATGAGTTTGCAATGTATACGGTTTGATTTTGTAAATATGTTCATGGATGTTTTTTGCCCTATGTTCACACTTATCTGTTACCTGTTAACTTGTTTGCACTACATTTATTCACCATAGATTGCATATAAATGTATGTCATTTCTGTTTTATTCATATAATTCGATTTGCATTATGTTTATGGGGGTAGTTAACAGGTAGATTATACTTATATATTTGTTATCATGTATGAACTACACTAGGGCGCATGAAAAGTGAGCGTATCCATAACAGATACTCACTCATGAAATTCAAAAATGATCCTTCAAACCCAATATTAATAGATATGGACGTAGATGCATCTAATTCTATCAGGACTACCAAAGTGCCAACCATTGCAAAACCTGTAGTTCTGATTCAAAGGTCAAAATTGAAATCTGGTTCAACTGTTAAACCAATTCAGAAAGAAGGTAGTTTTCTTATTATCTTTTGAATAAGTTATTACACCAAAAAGCATAGTCTTCATTATTTTTGTTTATGCATCAGTAGCAATACAAGGTCAACATTCGGGACATAATGTTTCTGATGAAACGCTTCATGAAAATCGTTCAAAGCACAAATGTGATCCACATTCCAGTTCCCATTCACCTTACAAAATTAGGTAACTCATTAATACTGAATTTTTTGAACTTGCTAGTGTAATTCATTTATCTTATTACTGACTTTTGACTAATGTATTGTATTTTCTTCCAAAAAATTTACAGATATTAGAAAAATGTTGTTTACGTCCAAAGAAAAATACCATCCATCACATGACGAATCTGATTTTGAAGACCCAAATCCAGTTCTCAGCCAAAATAAAAGGAAATCACCTCCACTTGTAAAAGTCAAAGTTCTGCAACATCAGGAGAAGAAAGCTAGAGCAGACGTGGCCAACCCTCAACTAATTAAAACCAAAGTTAAAGTCAAGAAATTGGAAAATAGAAAGTCAAAGAAGGGAGTCCATGTCGATATTCCAATACAACCAAGGCAAATACATATTCGGACGCCACCAAAAATATTATTATCCACAATGCACGGTCTGACCAATGGACAAAAGGAATATTTGTCATCAATTGGATTTGGTCCCCTTTTAAATAGAAGTAGATGGGTCGGCATCACGAATTGGGTACTATGCGGTCAACAACTTTGACCCTGAACGAATGGTTTTGACTGTCGAGCGGGGTGGGATACCAATCACTAGGCAATTGATACATGACATGTTGGGTCTCCCTTTGGGAAATATCAATAGCAATTCATTAAACTTCACATCCGATCAAGACAAAACTGTTGATTTGTGGTCTGCAATGTTCAAGTCAGAAAATGATATTAGGCCCAAAGGCGTACAAAGGGCGATTAAGAGATTAAAAGATGTTGGGTTATTGTTTAAAGTCAATTTTTTTGGTGCTCATTTGTAACACTCTTGGATAATCCAAGAGCATGGGCACATGTGATGTATCAATGCTTGCAAAGGTCTCAGAGGATTTAGATTAAAGCGACATAGATTGGTGTTCATATGTGCTAGAGTGTTTGAAAAATACAAAACATGCATGGAATCCTATGAGCGATACATCTTACTATGTTGGTCCTATTGTCCTCTTGACGGTACTTATCTTACAACCTAACATAATACATTAATTCTAATTATTCACTAATGACTTATTCACTAATGATGAAAAATACTTTATCACTATTGACTTATTCACTAAGTACTTATTCACTAATGATGTATTCATACTTTTTTTCTTGACATCTAAGCTGGTATACCCGGAGCATGTTTCATGTGATGCTGTTACGATCGAGCGTGGAAGACCTGCTATATGTTTCTGGGATGTAGAAACCATGCATTTACGTGAGGAATATGAAATCAGAAATGGTGGACTTGGTACTGGTGACATACCACAGGATGACAATGTGGAAAATGTCAATTCGGCGAATGGATCGGTTAAGGTTAGAAAATTTCCGCATCATTTTTTCATATTCATCACTTATTACTAATCTTTCATCATGTTTTTAGGAATACCTTTCCACCATTGAAAGTATGTTCAACAACCTAGTTGCGGATAATCATTTGTTGGACTCAAACCTGTTAGAAGCAATCGAAAAGCATCCTCTTATGTGTGATTTCTACGAATGGAAAGCCAAGATCAGAATATTCTTTAATGAAGCATCCGCAAAATATGAAGGAGGCAGTTGTTCTAATGATCCCGGCCATATTGAACCTTTATGCCAATGGTGGTCAGACAACTCAGAACAAATTAACAGGTCCTGTCAAATGGCAGAACATTCTGTTAAATTGTTCCACAATTCACCATTTCCAAACTTGAGCATCGGGTTGACACAAGAGTTTGCTGATATCATTATCAATTCACCATTGAAAGATATCATGAAACCCCAAAAGACCAATGTCCAAGTCCTCTTCCATTATCAATTGTTCAGTGATGACGGTGCTGCCAATGCAAGAAAGTTAAGGCCAAGAAATAAGCCCCCTGTACTACGTTCTTCGTTCATTTTACAGGCAGTAGATATAACCAAATGTATATCACGTGCTCAGAAGGACCTATCTGATTGGGTTTTCTCAACACAAGGTCATCCAAGGTATATACAAATTTCTACATAACTGATACAAAAAAAATTATTTATGTAAAGTTCATTTAACTTTTGACACGTTCTTTTATGCAGTGACGAACTGTTTCGGATCGGACATGTGCTGGTGTAGCTGCTGAACGCTTTCATGTAACGTCCCAAAATTCAAGGCCAAAACTTTCGTTTTAATTAAGTTATTATATAAAACCATCAGTATAAAAACATTCATATTAATATCTCATGTCAAAACCAAAGTGTCAATAATCAAAACATATTATCATAAAACCATATCAGAGTGTAATCTCAAAGATCTCATGTGCGGAAAACATAGTGTGATGCGCTGCGATCAAGCCGGCTCCTTTCCTTTGAAAACGAGTACCTGAAACCAAAACTGTAAACCGTAAGCACGAAGCTTAGTGAGTTCCCCCATCATACCACATACCACACAATCATATAACATACATATACTGCCAGGCATATATGGGTGCCCGACCTCCCCCTTCGGTCCTCTCGACCGGATACTGCCTAGCATATCTGGGTGCTAGCCTCCCCTTCGTTCCTCTCGACCGGATACTGCCTAGCATACCTAGGTGCTAAGCTCCCCTTCGGTCCTCTCGACCGGATACTGCCTAGCATATCTGGGTGCTGGCCTCCCCTTCGGTATCTTTCAACCGGTAACCGGGGATTATTTCATCCCCCTAACACTACCACATAAAAGCATAGCATAAACACATAAGTCATATACTGCCTAGCATATCTGGGTGCTGGCCTACCCCTTCGGTCCTGTCGACCGGTAAGTGGGGACTATTTCACCCCTACTACTACCACATAATATCATATCACATATATCATAATCTGTCTAGCATAGTTGGGTACTAATCTACCCCTTCGGCCCTATCGACCGGTAACCGGGGACTATTTCACCCCCTACTACCACTATCACATAACATCATATCATGCTAGCACATAAACATAACAGGTAGTAGCAAACATAGACAATTATCATAAAGACAATCATCTAACAACAACTCCTACTGGTGGGCCGGCATTGTGGTCGTAGACCCACCGCTACTGGAAGGTAACTCACCTCGCACTGCTGAAGTCCCCTAGACTCAACCCCACACTGTTGAAGTCCCGCAGACTCGACCCCAGCTGCTGGATGACAGATTCCCGATCTGTCAATATCAAAACATCACCCAATTAATAATTGGGTCCCAACACATAACCAGTAGTACATTCTTTGGATAATTACTACATTGCACCAAGCTTGGCTCATTCAAGCCCAAGGCCCAATCCATAGGCCCAAAGTCAATTAGGAATCAAGCCCAAAACATGGCCCAATTTTCCAAATTGGGCCCAGGCCTATACATGGTCTTATTCTAAGGCCCAACATCATATAATCATTAAGGCCCAAACTATGGACCAATTTTCCAAATTGGGCCCAAACCCCTTACATGGGCCTTACCCTAGGCCCATTAAATTATTCTAGTCCAATTGCTTGACTTTGGATGGCCCATTAATAACCCGATCATCAAGGCCCAATAAAGAGGCCCAATAATAAACCCAAATGAGATTAGGGTTTCACATAGAATGACAATTAGGGTTAGGTTTCCTACTTAACCCAATAAGGACTTAATCCATTAAGGACTTAATCCATTAAGTCCATCATTCTTCTAAATAAGTCATATGGTGTGATTGGGGCTTAATCACACAATTCCATTCCAATGTCCCAAAAGTGGGTCCCAAAGTCCAAGCTCATAAATCCAATATTAGGGTTTTCTAAACCCTAATTAGGGTTTCCAACCCCATCTTAGCCCAATAGGCCCAATAGCTAGGTCCTTAAGCCCATTAGGGTTTCCTAAGGTCAATTAGGGTCCATTAGACCCATTAGACACATGTTTGGGCTTTAATGTCAATTAGGACTTCATTAGGCCCAATAGGGTTTCACTAAGCCCATTAAGGCTTCTTTGGGCCCATTAGGGTTTCAAGCACCCCAAATGAATCAACATAACGAGACAAGGCACACCGCCACCCGGCACGGCGGCCGGTGGCGGCAGGAGGCGGCAACCACCACCCTAAGGTGGTGGTTTTCGGTTTTCTTTCATTAATCAAATTTTTTTACAGTTACAAAGCCCATCCGATCAATACACGCACACCCTAATCTAATTACAAACACATACACACGAAAATATACCCACCCATGGTGGTACACGGCGGCAGCCACCACCTCACGGTGGTGGCAGTGGCTTTTCCGGTCAAACGAAGTCACGCACAACACAAACACATGCTTCTAATTGTAACAAACACCCCAGCCACCCACCTGGTGGCGGCTGGCGACGACAGCAACAACGCGAGTGGTAACAACGGCGGCTTAAGGCGGCGGCTTGACGTTCGCAAGGTGGCAGAACGAAAGAAGAAGGAGACACGGAGCAGCTCCGACCGCGTCTTCCCGGTTGCAGCACAGTGACGGTTCACAGCAGCAACATCCGACACCGGCGACGGAACACCGTAGACGACGCGTCATCAGCCAAGAGCAGCAGCGACGCAAGACAGCGGTAGCAGATGAGTGGGGCGACGACGTTCCTGATGGTTTTTGGCTTCAACACCGGCGGGTAATGACTTCATCGGAGGTGGTGGTGTGGTACCGGAAATCGCAAGTGATGGTGGCGGCTGGAGGTTATGGTTAGAGAGGATAGCGGCTGCATCGTCCATTAGGGTTAGGGCAACCGGGGATGCGGGTTCATATATCCCGCTCCTAACAAACTTCCATCCATATTAACAACATCAGTCCCTCTTTTCCTCATTTCTTTTAAAATAAGGCCGATATTTACCATATAAACCCTCATAATCACAATCCCTTACAATTTAAGTACAATATTTACTTAACAGCCCTCCGCCTTGGAAATATTTTCAAAACTAATCCAGGATTTACCTTTTTAACCCCCGATTCCATAAATCTTTACAATAGAACCCAGAATTTACATTTTATCCCTTAGTTCCATAATTCCTTTCATATTGAGTCCTAATTGTTACCCATCAGCCCCTGTCTTCATAAATAATTATAAGCTGAGTCTGAAAATTACACTTTTAACCCCTAATCTCTTAAAGTGTGACAATTAGCTCTACGAGACCATCATTTGGTATATAATTATTTATTTTAGGGTTTCTATTCGTTCATTAATTTATTTATTTATTAAATAAATAAACATATCACTTATTCTCGGCTAAGGCTCAGCTAATCCCGCTGTGGGTGACTTGTCACTCCCCAATAAACCAGCTATTCCGTGCGCATATGCAACTAAAACACACATACTATCACTGCCCAAACGTTGAAACTGCCCGAACACTGAACTGCCTGAAGCAGTATACGCTACTACATAGTTGCTTACCAAAAGCTACCGAGACCTCCTGGGTCTCAATTCGCTTGCCAATCCTCTGAAATACTGGGTTTCCACCCAGCTGCGGAGCCAAAGGACTCCCTACTTAGTCGCCTCACACGACTTCTGAACGAAATCCTTCTCTGGAACTAGTTGCCACTAGTTATCATGCTGGTGTGACTCTACTAATTTCTGATCTAACCGATCGGGTCCATGCGTCGAATCCTGTCATCATGAAATCCAAGACTAAAAGTGATTGCTACCTGACCAATGGTAGCCTTATCTCACACGTCCTGAAGCAGTCCATTGCTTCTCTGATCTCATAACTGTAGTGACGTCCCTACAGTCTCATTTCTGGCTTAACCTGACCAATGGTAGCCTTATCTCCTCTGGCTCTTCTTCTTCTTCGTCCTCCATTTCCTCTTCCTCCTCAACCACTTCGGGGTCTTCCTCAGGATCTTCGGGGGTCTTCCTCAGGATCTTCCTCGATCATCTCCTCGGGTTTTGCCTCGAGCCATCCAGCGTTTCCTTCATTAGGGAAGTAAGGATCTCCAGGTAGATGAAATCCCGCCATGTTGTCTGTACGAGAATAGGGGTGTAAGAGATATGAAATGAATCTAAATTGTCGAGTTATAAATCTACAAAATACTCCTATAGTATTTTTAAATGTTATGTTTGGTTCTTAGCGTATTCATTATAGGGTGATGTTAGGTTGTCAGATTTGTTGTCCACTACGACTATCCCCCAATATATGCAAGTCACTTCTCGGACAGATATAGTTGATCAGGCTATATCCATCCCAGACTTGACCACATATCCCAAGGCATACTCGAAACGTACAACTCCTCCTCTTTTACTTTATGTTTTTCCTAGCTATGACACTATGCGAGCATGTATGTATGTACTTATACTTTTAACAAGAAACCGTTTACTTTCTAAAAGTATAGCCATTTGAAAATGTTCAATCAGAGACTTTCAGTCCTAAATGTGTTTATAGTTTGTATATCTTATGTGGTTCGATATACTTAGTTCACTATAAACATTGCTCTGATACCAATCTGTCACACCCCCAAACCAAGGATGGCGGAAACGTCCGGGGGTGGAGGACTTCATGTATAGTATCATAACAACAAATTGCAATAGTGATCAAAGTAAACACAAACAACATAAATATAATTGAAAGAGTTACATCATTGTATGCGTTTACATGTTTCCAAATCAATTACATTATGTTGACAAAAATGAAATGTTTGACGCTTTACGTCCCATCCTCAAAAGCACTTGGTTACCTGTTTATTGATTTCCTGAGAATACAAGTAGTTTTGAAAGAGTGTACAATTAAGTTGGTGAGTTCATAAGCTTTTGAAAGCGATGCTAAAATCCTTTTCTTGTAAGTATGATGTTTGTTCGAGAAAGATCCCATATTTTCTTATGTAATGCATTGTAGCCTTAAAAATCAAGACCGAAGTGTACAAGTATTTTACCATACTTAAAGTAATTTTATGCAAGTTTAAATCGACGTAAACTCGTTAAATTTAGAAGTAAAACCCGCAAATCTTATGTTTTGTTAATACCACATGTGAGTTATTATAACCATACTATGACTCAGACGGCCTCGTAATACAACGTTCTTCAGGCGTCGCAAGTTAAATGACACTTGTCACCACAGACCTGCCGGTCTAGCTGTTGCATGCAGCTCAGGTGTGGGTTTGTCAGACCCAATATAGATCTATACAGAACTATCACGTTCTCCCTA